GTCGTGGTCAGGGTTCGAAAATCATTGATTGAGGTAAATTCCCCCTCCCCCCATGGGAAGAATAATATTACGAAGTTTACTTTGAGGTAAATTTACCACCCCCCACGGAGAAGAAAAAAATGTTATTAAATTTATCTTGAAGTAAATCTCCCTCCTCCAGGGAAGAAAAATAATATTATGAAATTTACGTTAAGATAGTTTTTACCCACCGCACCCCCGACTGATGACGTGGCTACGCCCATGTATATTTATGTACATAAGTAATTTACATATTACAACCTTATTTCAACAAAACGAAGATTTCCCAGTCAGCCCCACGAAGGTCGTCGTTTCTTCGGGGCGAATCGACCGTACCCTGGGCAAGAGTTCATTAATTCGCGGCACCGATTCATTCTCCACGGGAACGCGCGAATGCCAGCCGGGGGCGCGGCGCCTCGGAATGGATCGTAATTAATTTCCAGTCGCAGTCGATTAAGGGAAGTTGGCCGGGAAGCCAGGCCACGGGAGCCTGTGGTAATCAGCCGGAACAAATGTAAACCATTAACCACCCCTCCAGGTGGGGGGTCCTTCCAGCCCCGACGATGATTTTCTCTAATTGTTTCGCGCGAGGCGGCTGGATATACTTTATGGTATGAATTTGCCAGGTGTCATCGGAGTCCTGGAACTTTATACGTTTCGACGGCCCTTTAATGGACCCGGGAAACATGTTTATACACCTTAATCGAATGAACCCTGGGGGGGTGGAGGGTAATAGTGAACCGCCTCGGACGGAAATCGAGTTGTAACCAGTGGAAGACATTTTGGTCGTTGATCATTTAGAGTAATTACATTCAAATCATTAGAAAACAATTCGAATGTTTAATTTAAGTTACAACGAACTTAAACGAATTTAAATTATTCCTTAGTGATTTGAATAAAACAAACATTCGAATTAATCCCTACTGATTTAGTTAAAACAAACAATTATCCATTTGCTATTGGAATTGGATTTAACCCTTTCGATGTTTATGGTCATATAACATATCATGACGAGTATACTCGTCTCTTTAAAATAAAATTTAGGTAAAACAAAAAACAATTGGTAATTTTAACAGGTTTTAGAATACTTTAGGATAAAGGATACGGAACCTACAAAGCAAAAAAGGGCTGTCTTATTTAATCGCATGTTTATCCAGAAAATTTTAAAATTCGATTAGCGTGGAAATGAAGCGTCCTACGAAAGAAATTCTATATTTTCAACTTACTTGTACACAAGGAATCACCTCCGTTCCGATTGTACCGCCATATGTTCAACATTGTAATGGTGTTCAACGATCACAATTAAATCGAAGAATTTTTTATCACGTCTATCTTCGTCGTTCTTTCCTCTCGCCACCTGGAACACTGAAACCGTGGACAACACTGGGAAATGACATCACGATCATAAGAAAAAGCCAACACCGCGTTTATAGAAAGGTAAAACCGTGAAGTATCCCATTGTATTTCCCGGAGAAATGGATTCCTGTTAAACGGAGAACGATCGGACAGAGCGATCGACGTGTTCCAAGCGAAAATACCCATTTGTTTCGTATCCGTTCGAGGATTTATCTCGAATACCTAGCTGCGGCTGTTAACCCAAACGTGATACGGGCGTGGTTTTATATACGCTATAGGCACCGCCATTTTAAATCAGTTTAATGGATCTGAATCTGTACGGTCTCTGAATCGCTCGAACAACGACCACGAATATCAATAAAACAAGTATCCACCCCCGACGTTTCATTAATTCGTCGGGTAACCTGCCCCCGAAACCGTATAAATTCCGTGGATGTTCCATTTCCTTGTTTGTCGTTGGTCCAGTGTTGTGTGAATTGTCCCTGTCGCAATTTCGAACGTCCATCCTTCACTGGTTAATTTGCTTCCGTTGTCGTTCCAATAACCGAACACGCGTTCACGAAGATGCGTGACGGAACCCACGAAAACTCGAACCAAACGCTTCGTTCTCTCGGTTATTATTCAGCTCTCGTGGCTCGGCGAAAATACGCGACTGTGTGTGTGTGTGTGTGTGTGTGTGTGTGTGTGTGTGTGTGTGTGTGTGTGTGTTTGTTTGAAGAAGAAGCCGACAGCGGCGGCGGCTCCTTGCCGTCCGTCGATTTCTATTGCTCCACGGTGATTTCGTCGTTTAACTCTGTTTGCTGAGAAATCAGCCGTCGTTCGGAACGGACGTTTATCCCAATATTTTCCCTTGAAACAGAGGACTCTCTCTCTCTCTCTCTCTTTTGCTCACTCTCACCGATCCTCCCTTTTCATTAAATCTTCTTGCCCCGGTCCGATGTTCGTTGGAGGAAAAATAGAGAGAAAGGAGGCTGCCGCCAGGTTTCCCGCGAAACGATCGAACTCCTCGAACCCTTCTCCGCCCTTCTAGAGTGGTGTACAGTTAACGGAATCGATATTTCAAAAAGGGTTGTTCACATTCTATTTCAGGCTGGGAGCATCCCTTTTACCATGTATTATACACGGAAGTATTCACTTCGCTCGCGTGTATAGATTCAGTAACAACGTCCTGGTTTTATTGATCTATGATTTGCTAGGAAAACAGGCCCTTTGAAAAGGGTTTTGGACACCCTGAGGAGTTGCAGGTTTTTTTCTTGTTCTAAATAGTTCTTTAGAAGATAATTCATATGACACTAACAGAGACCCAGGCTCCGTTATGCCTTATGTGAAAACTTGGACTTTACAGGGCCTTCTACACGAGGCCCAGGATTCTTAACGTTCTCCTGTATGAGGCCTAGGACCATTCCTGTTTTTCTGTATGAAACCCAGGACTCTTCACATCCTCCTATATGAGGCCCAGGATTCTTAGCGTCTTCCTATATGATGATCAGTGCTTTTCATGTCCTCGTATATGAGGCCCCGGACCTTTCACGTCCTCGTATAAGGCCCAGGACCTTTCACGTCCTATATTTCCGTCATCACGTTGTCGAAATACAATTACGTTGGCTCTCGATCGATCGATCGAACGAGAACGTTACACTCCATCCGTCAAAAGTATCCCAACGACCACTGATTCATCTTGGTGGACCAAGCGTAAAAGAAAGAAGAAATCGGTCGATCGAGTACCCTAGCAGGTAATTGAATGGGCAGGGATCGATCACTTATCGGTTGACTGCTTCGACCACTAATCCTTCTCCCTCTGGAATTCGTACAGCGTAAACAACATGGCCATCGCTTTCATCGGTTCCACGATCGACTTATTCGAAGCTTTCGACGATCGATGGAGCGCCAGGGCCAGCTGGAGGGATTCGAAAGCTGTCGTTTCCGCGGAGACAGTTCGTCGCGATGCGACCAGCTATTTTTCAGCTGTCTCCCACGACAGGAAGAGGGTTCTCCGAGGGCAAATTGTAGGGTGAGAAAACGACGGGAACAGGATACACCGATTACGCAGCGCGACTCGGATCGATTTCGTGGCGGCGAAGGGGATATCGTCCGCTTTTCTGTTCGCGGAACTGATTACGGCAGGGGGGGGGGAGGGAAAGAAAAGATAGAGAAAAGTGAGGGGGGTTAAAAGGTACAGAAAACTGAGGGTGGAGGGCAGGTAGAGAAAAGTGAGGGGGGTTGGAAGCTAGAGAAAATTGAGGGGGGAGGGAAGGTAAAGAAAAGTGAGGGGGCTTGGATGGTAGAGAAAAGTGAGGGGGCAGGGAATGTAGAGAAAAGCAGACCGACGATAGAGCTCTATGGCCACGTACGACAACATTTCCACGAGACCCAACTGCGTGTTCCGTAACCGTGTTGCTGCGTCCTATCGCGTCCGGCGTTCTCGGAAAGTTCATCGGCCCGCACGATCGATTCCCTGTCATTTTTAAATCGCAAAGTAATCCACCGCTGCTCGAACAACAATATTCTTTGCGTGAACCACACCGTTTCTTCCCTTGTTTCGGCTCGCTTGAACTGATATCTCTCAGGGATATTCGGGGATAATCCTGAAGCAGGATGAAGGTAGAGCTGAAAATAGAGTAAAGACTCCATGAGAGTTGGATAAGAAATTCCTCGTGAAAGTTTCTATTTCAGCCACACTATTGGAAAGGGGAGGCCGTGGAACGTGCCAAGGTTATAATTTTTCTAGGTGAAAATTTTAATTACTGTTTAAATAATTATGACTCTTACCATACCGATTAATTTAAAAGCGTGAAAAATAAGACATAGCATTGGGTTAGAATCAGTTTAATCGTAACGGTGTAAGAGGCTGCGAACTCGAATTCTAATGCAAAATTAACCACAGGAGAGTTTGGTGCTGCTCTAAAATTAATCAAAGAAATCCATTACATTCCGTAAACAGCAACAGAAGTCTTTAGATAGATAGTCTGATTTAACGAATTACATTTATTAGTTTTATTTATTGGAAAATAGTGACATTCGAATGTCGACAATGCACTGTGTCCAGACATTTATAGACGGTAGTGTATATCCATCAAGAACGAAGTGGTATAAGCGGCGCGTTGTTGAACGCAAACAGAGGCTTCCAGGAAGACAGGTGAACGAGCCCGAGAGGCAAACGAACGGCTTGTCCTCTCCGTGGAACAGGGAGCGGCCCGAGGAAATGGGGCCCGTGCGCAGTCAGAGACAACTTTGACTCTCGAAAAGTACTGTCCCCGAACGTCAACGCGAAACGCCTGGGAGGGGGAACACACCCGAACGATTGACGAAAGAGTCGTTCGGGACGAAAAACGAGAATAAAAGGGAGGGGAGATCCATGGAACGACAGGGGGGTGTTTGGTCGGTTGTTCAGCCGTAGTACAGTAAATTCTCCATGAATGTTCAAAGGCTCCTCGGCACTGAACATTAAATATTTCATATACAACGTTCAGATATTCCAAAAATATTTCGAAACTGTACTAATAACTTTCGTTTGTCAAACTTTACATTATAGAACAATTTTCTTCTATTGTAATCGTTAGTTATCGATACTTATTCGATCGATTCGGACATCGTTTCTGATAGATTGTTCGTTCGCGTTGTTACAGGTACAAGGACAACAGGGCTTATCCTTGGCCAGGCGGCGAGAGTCACTTTATTCTGTACCCAGAGAGCGCGAACCAGACGATCTACACGCAGAAGGTGAGGGCTTCGGACGCCGGAAGGTATTCCTGTCGAGCCAGGAACGACACGACCATCCTCGAAGGAGACATCACTCTCGCGGTTCTCGGTGAGTCTAACCCTTTCCTTTCTCGTCCGCCGAGCCTACGAATGCTCGCTATGTCTGACATCTTCGATACCTCGCGGTTTCACGACGAAATGCTTCCTTCGGAAAACTCCTTCGACTGGAGAACGCTTCGATTAGGGAATGCTTAGATTAGAGAATGCTTAGATTAGGGAATGCTTAGATTGGAGAACGCTTCGTAATATACTAGATAAGTAACGAATGGACAAAATAATCTGGTAACAAAAAAAATATTATGTACGTTCAACGAAGGTAAGTTTTGAACGTTCACCTGCACAAGATTTGTGACCATCGTAAGATGTCTCGTTCGTGAGTTCCGTTTGTAAACATTTTCATGGAACAACGAGATTAGTTCAGGAGATAATTGCGTGCAAAGATTTCAAACGGGACACCTTGTATATCGATCAGAGGGTAGCCTGGGGTTCTCGCGAGTCCGAGGAAACTGATTCCGTGTCGGGAAGAATAATGTCTGTCCGGTACGGATGAAGTCAGCTCCCCGGAAGCCGATAGAAATTGTGGGGAAACGAGGCCGTAGCTCCAGCCACCGACAGAGACGAATGCCTCTAACGAGAATCGAAGGGACGAGAAACCGGGGATGAATGTGGAGAGACCAGGGGACAGGTGAATCGGGGGGGGGGGGGATGAAAAACCGCCGGTGAATAAAACGACACACGTTGTCCAGAAAACCGACGAGAGTTGGTCGTCACGCGGATAACCAACGGGTTCGTTCGGTAAGCCGACTAGACTGATAATCATCCAGGTGCGTCGTCTCGTTTAGCGTCCGTTGCCCACCTGAGGTCGCCCCCGCTCGGCTGAAGTGACCTTATTTCACGGTTGGAACGTTCACCTTTACGCGCGATTACGTACGACTGAACGGCAGCATAAAACATCGTGAAAAATTCGGCGATCGTAGCAACGTATTGTTTGCATCCGCTATTGCAGGGTTGGTCGAAATGTAATGTAATCAGAAAATCTAAATTGCAATTACAACATTGTAATACACAGTTAGATAACTGTAATTTAATTGCAGGACAATTAAAATGTAATTAACCATACTAAGTTTACTATAAAAATTGCAATGTAATTGTCCCGTAATTACATTGTAATTTCACTTCAAATTTTGTAGTTAGATTATAATTTGTCCAACTCTGCGCTATTGGAACAGTATCGGATGAAGAAAAAGAAGGAAACTTAATTGACCCGTTAAAATTATGAGACTGATATACAATTATTGCCTCCCGTCTGTGACGATTTAAACGATTCTATAGACTCTCCCGAGTTTCTACACGTTTAAACGATTCTATTTACAGCACACCTCGTACAAAATCCATTTCTGGATCGAAACCTGGCACGTTCGACTTGTCAACCCTTCCAAGATAGCACGACCTGCACCCACGAATTCCGCGTAAACCGCCCTAACCTTGGTTTTCTTCCCCCATTTCGAATTCACTCGACGAACCCACGGAACGTCGGGCGTCGTCGAACCGTCGAAAAGCCGTCCGAACCACCAGTCGTGTTCGGTCGCGTATAGAGAGGCGGGGTAACCCGTAAAGTGGAACGAGCGTGAGACCCGTAATTAGTCGTCGCTTGGCAGAAACACGCGAGATACCGTGAAACGACAGAAATACGTTCGAGGAACGCAGCTAATCGGGATTCCTCGAAATCGTGGCCTCGAGTCCCCGTCCGTCTTTATCTCTCCGTCTCTGTGGCTTCGCGCCTCCTGTCGATAACCGTTGCAACGGCCGCCTCCGCAGCCTCTTTCTACTATCCGCGTATCCACATCCTGTCCCCATAGTGGACGGTTTAATTTCCAGGAAAAAGAATCGATTCGCGGCTCCTGGAAGCGACGACTACGCGACGGGACCGTGACGCATCGATCGACGTCGACCAGACGCCCAACACCCCTTTCCCTCTTTTTTCCTTGACGGCCCGATCGCTCCGCGTAAATCATCCCTGGAACCGTGAACGATCAGAGTAAATAACCGTGAACGAAGCCAATTCTCGGCCCACCTATCGATTCCTCCTCACCTGATCTCTGATCGAGGAGAAACACCATCGAACGAACCCCCTCCGAGATGCTCGCATTCACGAAATGATGTTCGGTTAGGCTGCGTCTGCACTGTGCGAACAGTGTTACGTAACAGATTGTTACGTGGATTTTGTTATACAACACGTCTTTATAACTTGTTACGAGGTTACACCTTTTGGACTGGACTGTAATGAGTTTGTATAACAGTTCGTATCTCATTATTAGACTCCGGATTTTATGCATTTATAGCGTACAGGGCTCTGTGAAATTCAATAAAAGATAAAACTGTCATTGGATCCAACGAGTTTTCTATTTTATATGAGATACTTACGAGGAAAACTAAATTTCTACATTTGCTCCTGTCTTTATTAATTACTTTAGGAAATGTTATTTTGCACAAAAATCCGCAGTCTACTCATTATTAATAATAGCGTCACACTTGATGTGGGCACGCATCGAATGGGGATACATATAAATTCACTTTATTTCGGTAGAAATATATATTTTTTTTTTTTTCACATTTTTATGATACAAAGGGTAATAGGGGGTGGGATCCACCGACAAAGGTTATGGAACGATGTGCAAGTCTACAGTTTAGATCGGAAAAACACTGTAACACGCTTATCACGTGCAGCACACGATGTAAACGATGCAGCTCGACTGTCGGCGGATATCTCGTTGTAAAAAACGAGCGGTGCTTCCCCGAAGATAGATAAATAAATCGGTTGCACGCGCGTTCTGGCCGAGCTTTGTGGGCAGCATCGGGCGAAACCGATCGTCGAGAAGTTTACACGAGAAAGACAGAGAGGAAGGATTCTCGAGCGTGCAAGAAATACGCCTCGTAAATCCGGGAGAGGATAGAGTATAGATCGCGTGAGTTAACCACCTTAAGTCGTACACGTCTCGGCCACTTTTTCGATACCGCGAGATCAAGCTCCAGGTTTTGAGTTTCCACGACTACCGCTGGTCGAATCTTACACCGTTTAAATTACTTTCGAATCGCTAGAGGCTACTTGGTTACAGTAAATCCTCGATGAATGCTCCTCTCGGCACTGAACATTGAATATTTCATAAACTAATGGCCATACTGTACTAAACCATGTTAAAAACATGTTGCACACATGTTTTCTGAACGTACAGTCGCGTCTATATTTGCCTATACCCAAATTTGCTACAGTATTGTAAGTAGAGGAAAGGAGTTCTATCTAGGGTTTTCCGTACTCTGTTATCGTTCCAGGTATATAGAGTTCGATAAATAATACCAACGATCGAAATACAGTAAACTCTTACGATATTGCCGCGGCCGTAGGAGAGTAAATTTCTCGGAAACAGCAATACATCGAGAGCCGCCTTCGTGGCGAACTGGAGGGAGAGCGAATTTGTGCGCAAAAAAAGTGCCTAGCGTGGTAATAGGCCAAGCGGCAATATCGTAAGAGTCCACCATTTCTACGCACCGAACTAGTATTTCGATTCCGATTCACCCACCCTAAACGATCTTCGTTTGTGTGCAGAGGAAGTGTCTAGCGTGGTAATAGGCCAAGCGGCAATATCGTAAGAGTCCACCATTTCTTCTACGCACCGAATTAGTATTTCGATTCCAATTCACCCACCCTAAACGATCTTCGTTTGTGTGCAGAGGAAGTGTCTAGCGTGGCAATAGGCCAAGCGGCAATATCGTAGGAGTCCGTCGTTCCTATCACGCCGCAAGTCCCATACACCGAATTACTATTTCAATTCCAGTTCGCCCGCCCTATAACCGTAGCTCAAACGATCCTCAGCCTGCCTGGAGCGAAACAAAAATTCACATCTCAGAACGATACCATAGCACCTCATCACCACCGAAGTTCATGCGTAACCAAGGGTCGTCGCGCGTGTTACTGGGTTAAATCGCGCGTGTAACCTAGACCCCCCGAAGCAGAAGAAAACCCGTTCGAGCTCGCGAAACCCCCAACGCCCAGGGGGAGGAGTGAAAACATTTCGAGTACATATATGCTTTCGAAGCCCGTGAAAGGCTGGAGGAGGAATGAAACGCGCGACAGAACACTGTGAAAGGGAGATAGAGCGAGACTGGAAAGACGCAAGGGTCGGGGGGGGGGGCGAAACGAAATTAATTTCCGAGCGAGTAACCCCTTGAAACTCGGCCCAGGCATAAATATGCATACGCATTTAGCCAGGGGATGTGCGCGGGGGCGCGAGAGAATTATGAGCCAATACCTCAGGGCTAAGTGCACCGAGTGGTTCCGCGCCACATACATTAAGTAAATGCGTATGATCTTGCAAGTGAGAGAGAGATGAAGGCTGCGCCGATGATGCTCCCGGTAATGCAATTAGCTGGTGCACCACCACCGTGCGCTATCTCTCCCCGGCTATTTCTGCCCGGGGAACATTGGCCTCGCTCTAGACCCAGCCTCTCTGTCCCTTTCTAGCCTACTTCTCGAACGGAAAAATGCCTGCCTGGCCGAGGAATATACGTATAACGCGTCTTGATTCGAGAAACTCTTCTTTTATCGAGCACTCTCGCCATCCACCCCTCGGGGCTCTTAAGGTGGGAGGATGGGGCCTCTGTTTGGGTCAATGGAAGTGTAAGTACTTCCCGTCCAGTAGGGGACATTTAGGGGTTGCTGTTTCGTGGATTGGATGATATATTTGGTCGTTAAATATGGAACTTGAGAAATGTCGAAACGGAGACTTTGAGATTTTTTAGCTCTTGCTTGGTGCGAAATTTCAGTATTAACTTGGGTCAGTTTGAAAGATGCATCTTAACTCTTGCCATAGAAATGGTGTCAATGCGTAGAAAATTATGGGGAATATTTTCAATACTAGACCACCATAGTTGCTTAAAGTAAAGATGTTACATGCTGTTTGTCGAGTATACTCGTTGCAGGTAAACAATAATAAAGCACACAAGTGCACGTTCCCAAAATGAAATGAAGTGCTTGCAGGGTTAGAAGAAGAA